ATGACCAACCTAGACAGCATATTAAAAAGCAGAGACATTACTTTGCTGACAAAGGTTTATCTAGTCAAAGCTATGGTTTTTCCAGTTAGTCATGTATGGATGTGAGAGTTGGGCTATAAAGAAAGCTGAGCACCGAAGAATTGATGCTTTTGAACTGTGGTGCTGGAAAAGACTCTTGAGAGTCCCTTGGACTGCAAGAGGATATCAAATCAGTCAATCCTAACAGAGATCAGTCCTGAATATTCATTGGAAGGACTGATGCTGAAGCTGAAACTCCAATACTTTGGCCACCTGATGTGAAGAACTGATGCATTAGAAAAGACCCTAATGCTGGGTGAGACTGAAGGCAGGAGAAGGGGACGACAGAGGATGAGATGTTTGGATGGCATCACCGACTCGATGGACATGAGTTTGAGCAAGCTCTGGGAGTTGGTGATGGACTGGGAAGCCTGGCGTGCTGCAGTCCATGGGGTTGCAAAGAGTCGGACACAACTGAGTGACTAAACGGAGCCCAAAAAAGAGCCTGGCAAGATCTGAAATCACATTCCTCCCGGTGAGTTACAAAAAAGCCGGCAAAAGCACACACTAACCCGGTCTGCAATTCTGTCGATATTACGAGGAGCAAACCTGCAACTAACTGGGAAAGGCCTCTTCAGGGACCACAGTCCACCAGGCCACTGTGCCCCACACCCCCAGGTCATTGGCCAGGAGTCTGGAGCCCCCACCAGGCTCTCTGGGCTCCAATCCTCATCCAGGAGGATTCATTCGACTCTCTCAGATGCTCTCAGGCAGGTCAAACTTCAAGTCACGGACCAAATAAATCCAGGCCACGGAGCCTGACAAAGTGGCCAAGGCAACTGTTCAGACAGAGCCTTGCTGGGCTCCACGGCTGAGTCTCCAAGTCGAACAAGATCTGACCCTGTGGCCTCTGTGCAAACAGCGGCAGCTGGGAGAACCCAGGCCCGTGTTTACATAGAGCCTTTCCCCTCAGAAGCTGAAAGTAATTTCAGGACACTCAGTAATTAGCTTAATTAAATCTCAGTGGCTCCTGCCCACCCTGCTCCTGGCTGCCTGTTTCACTCGAGCATGGCTGGGGGATGGAGAGGCGGGGCTGCACGCCTCGCACACATGTGTAAACACATCACACTCACAGGCCACCCTTCCTGGGGGGCTGTTTGGAGAACACGGAACTTTGGAGCCTTGTCACTGGTTCTACAAATGGACGAAACTCATGAACATGCATCTTCATCTGGTCCAAAGGAGGGTGTCTAAAAGGGACAAAGAAGACAGCAAGCACTTTTTGTCCCAGTATGCAAATGAGAGAACATCTGTATGCTAATTGTGGACCATGGACCCAAGGGAATTGTTACAGGCTTCGGCTTTGTATCGATATTTGAGAGGTCTTTGGAAATGGCAACCCACTCCAATACTCTTGCCCGGAAAAACCCACAGACGGAGGAGCCTAGTGGTCTGCAGTCCATGGGGTCACAAAGAGTCGGACACGACTGAGAGACTTCACTTTCTTTCTTTCTACTGCCAAATCAGGTCATCAAGAAAACGCTATAAAAACCTTTGAAACTGGTGCCAACATGTTAGACTTTTCTGCCTCTGGAATGCCTGTTCCCGCTGACCCATATTAAAGATTCTCAAATCTTTTAGAAGCTGGAACTTGGATGTTTTCCTCACCAGCTGGCAGGCTGGGTGGCCACCCAGGTCATGGTGGAATAGAAGGACTAACCCAGAAATCATCAGTTTTTCCTAAACTCAAAACCTAAGTCAAGCCCTGTCTCCGCACTACCTGAAAACATTAGTGGGAAGCCTTTTAAACTTATGACCCCGTGGGCTAGGACGTGCCCTAAAGAGCTATGCTTTCATCCGACCCATGTCCCTGTAAAAGCAGCAGCGTGTACCCGCCACAGAGCTGCATAGAATTTAAGGCCACTCAGTAAACACGGAGAAACCACTACCCTCGTGGGAATAAACCCTTGACTTGAGTATGCGTGACCTCGAATTCCTCCCTGGGGAGACTCATCAAGGGAAACCAGAGCTGACATGAAGAGGGAGCTTGAACCTCATGGAATGGCCAAGGTTCCACCACCAGCTATGCAAGTTGCCACAGATGCACTTCCCCATACAAAAATAGAGCCTTCACCTTTCCCAGGGAGGCGGGTAGGAAGGAAAGCACTCTTAACCTTATCCAGGAAAGCAAAAAGCTAGGACTTTGGAACACAGATGGGAATTTTAAGTTCGGAACCAGCCTATCCCATTGTAACATACTTAGGATGCTCTAAAAGTTTGAGACAACTTTCCAGTAACAGAGGCTCCTACAATCCTTCTCAGGACCAGCAACATCACCCAATGCCTTTTAAAAATAGTTTCACTTAATGTAAGAAAAGGTCTTTCCTGGTGGCTCAGACAGTAAAGAATCTGCCTGCAATGTAGGAGAACTGGGTTTGATCTCTGGGTAGGGAAGACCCCCTGGAGAAGGGAAGGGCAACCCACTCCAGTATTCTTGCCTGAAGAATTCCAGGGACAGAGGAGCCTGGTGGATTATAGTCCATGGAGTCACAGACAATTGGACATGACTGAGTGACTAACACAAAGAAGACTTCAAAAATTAAGCATTCAGTCCAAAGTCTACTGAAAAATGAACGCCAGGTTAGGTGACAAATGTGGACTGCACGTTAGTTGAGGCCTCACCCATTCCTTTCATTATTTCCTCTGTTCTAGAATCCAGAGAATTGTAACCACCAACATAACATACATGATTTCAGCCCAAACCTAATTTCCAAAAGGAAAATATGCATTATACTACTTTCATTAATCATTTTAAAATCTTCACTTTTGAAAAAATAAAGTCTTTTTTATCCTAGTGGCTTCAACAGTGCGCTAAGTCACTTCAGTCATGTCCAACTCTTTGTGACCCTATGAACCATAGCCCACCAGGCTCCTCTTGTCCATGGGATTTTCTAGGCAATAATACTGGAGTGGATTGCCATTTCCTTCTCCAGGAGATCTTCCCAACCTGGATATTGAACCCCAATCTCTTACATCTCCTGCACTGGCAGGCCAGTTCTTTATCACTAGTGCCGCCTGGGAAGCCCAGTGGCTTCAAAGGAACTCTTAAATACACAGGAACTTTCTTAAGGTTGCTGTAATCCAGCTGACGATATTCTACTCTCTCTGATGAAGCGGTAGTTTTGTACCGTGCAATTAATCTCTCAGCTCTGACAAATGTGGTATGAAGTAGACATTTAAAATGGAATGGAAATTTCTGTGAATTTTTTTTTTCCCCAGACCTTAGTAAATGATAAAACTTGGACTTTTCAGGCTAGAGTACAAACTGAAATAATCTGATAACAATTTAATCCATGATTTACTGCACAACTTATGGTGCTGACACTACCGGAGACATGGTTTTAGTAACCAAGTGACTGAAAACAAGCCAGATAACCATATGTTAATAAAATGATTCAGGAACTGGAAACAGAAGAGATGGTCCTTCCAAGATGTATACTGAGGAGTCTAACTGAAGAATGGATGTGTCCAATGTGAAAAAAAAAAGGCTAAAGTCAATTATAAAGTGTGGTGGGGGTAAGTGCACTGGTTATCCACCTAAAGGAGCAGAGACCCTCTTATGGGCTTTGTGTTCAGCTACGGACAGGGGAGATGGTACAGCTGGACACCAGTTGCAAGCCTGGTCTCCAGTATTCAGGTTGAAGTTCCAACAATCCTACCTGGTTTCGCTCACTTTGGTATTCCCTGGCCTTCCTCGTGAATGTTAGACACCAAACAAGGAGCCCAAAGGCTGATGATTCCAAGAAGCCACACTCTGTACACCAATACAGAAACAGCCACTGGAAGTCAGGCAGTGCTGTCACCCTGGCCAAGCAAGTTTCTTATCCTCTCCAGGCCTCAGTTTACCCCTCTGTGATATGGACACTATAATAGCCCTTTTGCAGAACTGTGAAAATTAAATGAGATAGTCTCTAAAGCCCTTGACACAATGTCAGTGTCAAGACTTGCTGGTCTTGACAGAGTTGAAATACACAGACTTGGCAACTACCTAAGGTCAAATCCAGGCCTCCCAGGAGGCTCAGTGGTAAAGAATCTGCCTGCAATGCAGGTGACAAGCATACGATCCCTGGGTTAGGAAGATTCCCCTGGAGAAGTAAATGGCAGCCCACTCTATTACTCTTGCCTGGGAAATTCCATGGACAGAGGAGCCTGGTGGGCTACAGTCCAGGGGGTCACAAGGAGTCGGAAAGGAGTGAGTCAACAGCAACAACAAAGTCAAATACAGCCAGTACAGTCATCCGGTCGTGTATTTGCCTCCAAGTTCTATACTTTGCCGGACTGACGCTTCTCAACCAAGCAGTTAGTTGAGGCCAAGGTGCCATCAGCTGTCTATCCGGCTCTCGGTTAACGGTGCTTTGTCCGCATCCCCTCCAGGAGCGAAGGAGGCCATCACAGAGCCGTGGGCCTTCCCTGTTTCATCAACAGGTGCCAAAGAGAAACAGCGCCAAGCGCTCGGTCAGGCCGGCTCCTAAGTCAACCCTCCCGCATGGTCACGAATCTGGAACGCGTCCCGGGGGAGCACGGGGCAGCAGGAGCCAGAGGCGGTTCTCCACGGGTGACCCGCCCGCCGGCAGGCGCGCAGATGGCAGACCCCGAGGGGGGACCGCGGGTCGCCTGGGTCCGGGGGCGCGGCCGCACGTGCTCTCAGAAGGCGTGCCGGCGCCACTTCATTCAAACAGATCTCGCCCGGCCACCCCGCGCGTGCGACCCCCACTCCTCGGCCTCCTCCGCGCCCCCCGGGACCGCTCAACTCGGGGAAGGGAGGTGCCCGTATGCCTTGGTCTCAGCAGAAGAGGCAGGCGCCCTCCCCTTCGGTCAGCCTCCCCCCGGGGAAGGGGACGGGGGAAGCGGCCCGAGCCCCTCGCGCCGCTGCGGAGTTGCCTGTCCGGGAGCCCCGGGAGGCGCCGCCCTGCCGCACTCACCGAGCGTGGCCACCGTGCCGGCCTCGAAGAGCAGACAGTCCCTGCGGCCGCGCGCCTCCAGCAGGACGCTGCTCTCCCCCGAGGCCTCCAGCCGCCCGAGCAGCCGCAGCGCCTTGCTCAGAGCCATGGGCGCGCGGCCCGGCGCGGCTCTCCGAGCGCCCGCAACTTCCAGGAGTTTCACTTTGCGCCCCCGCCGCGGGCCGGGCGCAGGCTCCTCCCCGGCGGCTCTGCGGCCCCCGCCCGGCCCGCCTCCGCCGTTCCCGCGCGCGCCGCCCAGGGCAGGTGAGGGCGCGCGGCCGCCTCCCCGCCGACCCGCAGGCTCCGCCGAGGCGCCGCGCTCCCCCCAGCGGCCGGGCCGCGGCTGGGTGGCTGGGTGGCTGGCGGGGGAAGGCGACCTCCGGGCAAGACCGGGGGGCTGATGAGGGCCTGGAGCGAAGGGGAAGTGATCCCGCGGTGGGCGGCAGCCAGGGAGGAAGATTCCACACATTCCTGGGCGCGGAGGAGGCTGCCGTCCGCGGGGCGCCCTGAAGCTCCTGCAACGTTACGGAAGCCCCGCGGCCTTATATGGGCCCGCCGCGGCCTGACCGGCGCCACTAGGCTAGAAAGTGCTCGGCCCGGGCCCCCTGCAGCGCTCCGGAGTCCTCCCCAGTCCCGTCCAGGGCGCTGCGCCTCCCTCCCTGGCTTGCTTCTGCGACCCTGGGCGAGTCGCTTGTCCTCTGTGACTCAGTGGCCCTTACGGTAAAGCGGGATTAGGAGGAGTACTTGCTTCATAACGTTGCGGGGCAGGATGGAGTTAATTCGGACAAAGGGCTTGGTGCACACGCCTGGCGCCTGGCAAGCGGAAAGTGCTCCATCCATGGTGACTTTTACTCCCTTTCTGTTCAGAGGGTCCTGCGGCCCATTGTCCCCACCGGGCAGAATTTGGGTAGCGGGGAGTCAAAGGTGGGTTGTCCCTGAGAGCTCTGAGCCCCTGATCTCTGGACCTGCCGCTTACCGTGGGACTTTGACTTCTGCGAACCTGCTTTTCTCTCTTTTCAGATGGTGAGGGTACCTGCCCCAGAGGCTTGCGCGATGGGCGTGGAGTCATCATTCAGAGGAGCTGAACGCTCTGGGAGTGACAAGCAGGGCGAACTGTGAGGTGCTGGTGGTTGCAGCAGTGAGGGTGAAGGGCCTTTTCCCTCCGACTTGCAACCCTTCCTCCCACTCTGCTGAGTGTACCGCCCCTGACTTCATGGCCGATACTTCAATCAGCCAGTGTGTGCTCGGGCAGTATGGACACCAGCATGTATCCGTGCATCGTGCATCCCCCATTAGAACACGTGGCCCATCTAGGATGACCTGGCAGCTAAGGAACTGGAAGTACGCCCCTCTTGGCCCTGGGTTTTAGCCCAGGTGTTGGGACTGGTCTGCAGGGGAGAGGGCTTACCTGGAGACACCCATTGGGTGAGTGTGGGGGGTTAATTTCCTTTCCTTATAGTGAGTGTGTAGACGACGGCTCCAGACCTTCATCCGGGTGTTCTCATCAGACCCCGAATCCAGTTGATTCCTCTCCCACCCCCCGTTCTGCTCACATGGAGAAGACTGTGGGTCAAGTCATTTATCTCTCAGGCATGTCCCAGAAGATGTAAAGTGCCCCGGTGCCAAGCGGGATGAGCACGCCCTTGCAGACATTCAGGATCGACCAGCAATGATCGACCAGGTAGTCCATCCTCTGTAGACCTTTCCCAGGTGTGATTCGGGGAATGACGGTTCCCAGGTGCAACCTGAGACGGAATGACGGAAATGAACAACAGCAGAGATTCAAGTCGTTTTGCCGCCTTGCTCACATATCCCATTTTGACATGATGAAAGTTCCCGAAATGATGCTCATAAGTTATCCAAACATTTGTAAAATGGAGACATTGTTTCTGCCTGAGAACAAGAAGCCCACTGAATGAGACAGAGTAGCCTCTGGCCCACATTTCCTTTCCTTTTAAACTCTAAGTTCTGTTCTTCCAGGAAGCCTTCCTGTGATGTGGAGGTTCCAGATAACCCCTCACACTCACAGATGTCCACTTTGGCTCTCACCTGCTCACATGTTGCTTGAGAAGTGTAGAGTTCTTGTTTCTTAGTCTTATTTCCCAAATTAGGTTGTAAGATCTGTGGAAGGGGATCAAGTCTTTATTACTTTTTTTTTATTAGTTGGAGACTAATTACTTTACAATATTGTGGTGGTTTTTGCCATACATTAACATGAATCAGCCATTGATTTAAAATTTTCTCTCTCCTTCTCTTTCCTGCCTTTCCACGCATCACGTAGTTCATGGCTCTGCCCGGTGACATGCTGAACACGTTTTAGAAACTTTCCTATAGTCCAGACCAGCACTTTAGCTTCACAGCTTAGACACTCTCAGACAGAATCAACTGTAAGATGAACTACTATTTCAGGTTCCACTGAGAAGGAAAAAAATGTTGCCAATTAAACTACATAATGAAATCATTAGCAATGCCCTGATTTCTGCTGTTATAATGGTGCGTCTTAGATGCCAATAATGGCTGTTCCCCTACCTCTGAGAACTGGCTGAATGAGCCAAGTGCAGGCTGTGTTTTCAGATCACTTCCCTCTGGTTTGGAGTGGGATGGATCCACGGGGACAGTAAACGAAGCCCTGCCCTTTGATCCACGCTTCCTTGATAGGCTGAGGGTCACCTAGGCACTGGCCCGTTTAGCAGATGGAGAAAGTAAGAGATCCTAACACATGCAAGAAAAAGGTCAGCTCTGACCCCTAAACCACGAGTGCAACCTGAGAACACCTTTGGCCACAGGAAGCATCTTTAAGTTGGCTCCGGCCACAGGAAGCATCTTTAGGTTGGCTCCAGGGTCCTCTTGATAGGACCCCAAAAGTCCTTGATTGTTTCCTTGCCTTCTAGAATGAAATACCAAGCTCATCTTGTACATTTTCTGCTCTTAAGAGCAGGAATTAATCATTTCTTTGAGAAGCCCTGATTCTCTTTGGTGGAAAACTATATTTGAAGACCACATTTGGTCATTTAGAAATTTTAACCTCATGGTCTCAGAACCTGTCTGCATATTAATCCAGGCCCATTTTACCCAGTTAAGCTCATTTTCTCTAAGACAATTAATTGAAGCTGCTCCTTCCTCCCACCCCATTTCCTCCACCCCCTGCTCTCAGCAATTTACTGGCCTCACACTTCCCTGAGAAAGAGGAGACCTCACTTTCCATCCCTGAAGCTCCCAGATCCTCTTCTTTTTCTGCAATGACAGGGAGGAAAACTTGACCATGAAGGTTCTCCAGCACTTTTGTGTAAGCTCTGCCATCTGGAAAAAGACACAAACTTCAAACAGCTGCAAGAACAGCTTCCAACAAACAACTCTCCTGGGGAGAGACTCGAGCTTCTGCATCGATACCAGTGCTGCTCCACGTGCTCCACCAGTCTGAGCTACCACGTGCTCAGACCCCCATCCCCCTTCCTTCCCAAGAACACTGTCCCTTCCCTTAGCCCCACCGTCCGGGTCACCGAACCTCCCTCTCTCCTGGATCATGCCCCGCGCGGTCCAGATGTGCTCCAGGATCTCCCACTATAAGGGGGAGACCCTCTGCCCACCCTGTTCCCCATGGCACTTCTCGGAGATCATAAACTTGAAATGAAGCTAGTCTGTGGGATTCGGGGGTGTTGGAGGCAAGCTGGAGCTGTCCACCCAGGGCTGTTAATTCCGCATCACACTCGCCCGGTAAGCCTCGCCTGGGCCCACCTCTCCTCCTGACCACCTCTCCTTCTGACCACCTCTCCTCCTGACCACCTCTCCTGACCACTGCATCCGCCCTTCTCTGGACTTGCAGTAACTGGCCTTCTGTTTCTGTACCTTGCCCCACAGCACGGAGGGCAAGGTGTGGCACCCCTTGTTACTCGGGCATGGCCCCCTTTCTGCCCCCGCTGTCCTTCTACCTGCCCCTCAAGTTCCAGGCTCGCTGCCCTCCCTCGGTCCCCGACCAGCCAGGTCCTAGCTCAGGGTGCCAGTGTGAACCGTTGTCCACTGGCTGCGTCCTTCTCAGCTTGCTTCCTTCCCACATGAGACCCCTCAGAGGGAGCCCCCCACACTGCATCCTACCCTTCTACGTGTCCCTGTTGTTTCCCTCACATCTGTGCTTCACTCGGTCACCTTCACTCAGACAGAATCAAGTAAAATGTAAATGCAAGAACTCAGCAGCCTGTCTCTGGGTTTGAATCCTAGAGCCACCCTTTCCGTGCGGGGCAACCTCAAGCAACGAGCTGAACTTGGCTGCCGCTGATCCCGAACCTTTTATATGTGAGAATTAAGGAGGCTGTGAGCACTCAGATAGGCAGCGCAGTAGTAAAGACTCCACCTGCAGGAGGTGCGGGTTCGATCCCTGGGTCGGGAAGATCCCCTGGAGAACGAAATGGCAACCCACTCTATTGTTCTTGCCTGGGAAATGCCATGGACGGAGGAGCCTGGTGGGCTGCAGTCCAAGAGTCACAGAGTCAGACATGGCTGAGCATGCACACACGTGCGTACACACACACACACACACACAGAGTGTGGAACAGCGCCTGCCCCATAGTAGCAACACGCTGGTGTCAACCACCCCTGCTTCCGCCCACTGTACAAGTCTGTACGTTTCAGGGCCATGTCTGTACAGTTATCACTAGACACCCAGCGCCTGGCATCCTGGAGTCCTTGTTGAGTGAAGGAATGAAGGACACGTGCACACCCGCGTGGAACTGGCCTGGAAGCCGAGCCTCTCACGTAGACACTGGGCCAATGGCAGCTCAGATGATACAGGCCTTCATGTTTCATTGCCAGAGCCTAGAACTGGAATACACAAGAGAAGGACGGAGCAGCTGCAGCCGCAGGAGAAGTGGGAGGTGGGTCTGGTTCTCCATCGCAGGCGGCCCCCACTGGCTGTCCAATCACGAGGTCCTCCTAGCTCCCTGGCGTCACCTTCCTAGACATGGCCGTGTGTCTTGGCCACCGTCCGCCCACTGGGATTGGGAAGCCTTGCCGTGCAGGTGAGGTCTGGGGTCACTGGCTCAGGTCCCCAGGAGAGTGTGCCTCGCTCTGCTGGCCGTGGCCGTGGGGCGGGGGTTGGACATCGTTAATAAGAGG